TTCAGTAGACATCAGTAGGTAGAACCATTTCTGTTAACAAATTTCTCAGACTGTACTAGAAGAAGGTTACTGTTAGTATTTTCATTAGTTAGACAGGTAAAAAACTGTCTCTATAGTACACCCATCGTCTTAGATGGAGTTGAATTAGTAAACAAAATAACAAATACTTAATACCGTGTAAATTAAACACTGTGGCCATTTCCTGCTGTGTTCCTTCTTTTTACCTCCAGTGGATTCCTTTTAACCATTTAACTCCTGCACACAAGGTTAGGGACAAGGAGGGATATAATAGTAATCCCTTCCTGGTTATTAGTGGCATACATGTTTGGATATTCATTTGTATTATATTTTTATAGAATACTCTGCTACCTGCTGAGACAACCAGGCTCTTTCCATTTGTTTAGAAAAAAAAACGCCAGTTCAGGTTAATCAGGGCTTGACAAATCTCAAGTCGCATGGCGTTTAGACATTTTCTCCTGGCGCCTGGTCGTTTGTCAGCCCTTTTAGTGCTAGCCACATTAGCACGCCCCCCTCTCCTGGAATAGAGGCTGACGGTGAGGGAGTTGTAATCTTCCTGCTCTGATCCCTGACTCGCCCTGCTGTGTTGCCAGGATATGATGTCACTAAACATTGCCCGAGGGAGCACAACAAGAAGAGCTTGAGTATTACAGAAGCCCTATTGAACTCCCAAAGGTAGGGAAGCCGGGAGGACCTAAATTGAAATAAAATTAATAATTTGTGACTGTGTGAGAGAATGTGTGAATGCGCTTCAGACTGGGGGATTTTTTGCCTTCTTTTGGATCAACAGCAAAAACAAATGTGAGGAAGGCTGAACTTGATGGACGCAAGTCTCTTTTCACCTATGTATCTATGTTTGTGAGTGTGTGAGTATTGGTACTCTAATTCTAAAAATACAAGGCATGTTTATGGAAGTGGAAAAAAAAAAACATACATTGCATAAAACATCTGGAGTGTCTCATCAGAATATATTAATTAGCTGCATAAGTTAAACGCCCATGACATTTGGTTCGTCTTCTTTATGTGTAAATTTAAAGCAACACTATAGTGTGAGGAATCCAAACATGTATTATTGACATTGTAGTGTTTAACTATGTAGGTTACTGCCCAATCCCCCTCCAATTGCATGGGAAAGGTGTTGCGCCATCTTGCAGTGGCTGGCTCCGCCTCCATCGTTGAGATAATCAGTCTTGATTATCTCCCCAGTGCTTTCCCAAAGGAAAGTGTTATGAGCCTATTGCGCATGTTTGGGAAAATGCTGCGCTGCTCCAATCCGCATCTCCTCCTACAGATTCGTTGAATAAGTGCATCTTTGGGGAACATTCAGCGCCTCCATGCATAGCACAGAGACGATGAATGTAGGTGCTGCACACTTTGCCGCACTGGACTAGGAAGCACATCTAGTGGCCCCCTGAGTGACATCCACTAGAGGTGTAACTAAGCCACAATGTAAAAGAGTTTTCTCTTAAAAGGCGGTGTTTACTTTGAAAATTCTGGAGAGACAGGCTATATATACCAGAACCACTATGTTAAGCAGTGGTGGTTCTGATGAATATAGTGTCCATTAAGGTCTGTTATTTTTGTAATTATTGGGGGGGGGGAGAGGGAGGGTGGACTAGCTCCTAACTTTTTTAGCTGTCTCCGAGATTCAAAGCAAATTTGTCATGTCCGGAGATAAATTTCAGAATTTCTTAATTGTGCATATAATTTGCACACTGGCTAATTTTGGAATATGCATTCAAATAGTCTTTAGTAAATATATGAACTTTAATATTTGGTTTAACTTCAGTGATTTTTCAAAATTTTGCTGTTTGAATTGAGATAAATTACCACTATCCTGGTTTCTATTATAAATATAAAGAGGCAAATAAATCCCAACTGTAGTCATATTCAGTTGTGCATAAAAAGAAAGATAAAAATATCCAAACTTGCATTAAAATTCCTATTTACCCCAACATTATTTCAACATTTACGCATATTGTGCATTCAAGACTTAACATTTGTTTGTTCGTTTTTCTTTTAAGGTAATCCGGTGCCTTGACTTGGACGAAGTTTTAAAACGAAGAAATACATACTGTGCTTTAAAAGAAAGTTGAGTTGGCTTATTGCTGCTTAGTCACAGGGCATTGTTTCCTCGCTTAATAACAACCTGTTCAGAACAATTGTTGGCTATTAATGCAGCTGAGATAAGATGGGGCGGTCCGTCGTTATCAAGGAACGAACCATTTATAAACCGTTTTATATTAAACCAGGCGACAATACCTGAGAACCTTAGGCAGCATAACTATTAACGCACGATGTAGTGGTTATATTCCGTATATTAAAAAAACAACAAAAGTTTAATTTGTCGTCCTATCCAAAGACTTCTGGGAATAAATGTAATTCTCGTTTTGTATATACTTTATAGCAATATACTGAGAAATGTCACAAAACTTTCATTAAAAGATCATATTTAAGACAATATGGGTTTGCTCCCTTTATTATGGTGATGTATTATTTAAATCTTTTGCTTTTTGTATATTTATTGTAGTAAAATGATGTCAAATTTTAGATACAAATCTTATAAATATTGTTTTTATTTATATGCATTTAATGATTAGTTTAAAAATCTTCACCCAAAGCATGTTTGTTTGTTTTTTTGTTTGTTTGTTTTTGTACATGGTGACAATAAAATGGTAAAATAATTACTGTTTTGTTTTTTAAGCATTTTTGTATTACGAATGTTAGTGAATGGATAAATAACAACTAGAGATAGTAAAGGCTGCTCACAAGTACACAACAGAAGAGTGCTATCATAAAGAGGCATCCCTAAATTGGCTAAACAAACAAGTATATGTACACCAAACCACGTTTAAACAAGAGTCAATATTTTATTAAACAATTCAAATTATGTGCACAAATACATGCATAATGTGTTTTTTTAATTGTTTGTTTTTTAACATGTACAGCTTGGAGGAAAGACGAGAGAGGGGGGGGATATGATAGAAACATTTAAATACCTAAAGAGAATCAACACAGTAAAGGAGGAGACTATATTTAAAAGAAGAAAAACTGCCACAACAATTGGACATAGTCTTAAATTAGAGGGGCAAAGGTTTAAAAAAAAATTTCATGAAGTATTACTTTACTGAGAGGGTAGTGGATGCATGGAATAACCGTCACATTCTATGTTGTTTAATAAAATATTGACTCTTTTGTGTAGACTTGGTTTGGTGTGTATCCTTTCGTGTACAAATACTTGTTAGTGAATTGATAAGGCAAAGAAGACCATCAGAATTGTTATTAAATATATAAGCTAAAATGATATAGAACACCCCCAAATTATCACGCAATTATTCACAGTAATTTCTGTGAGAACATGGGGGAATCCCTTTGCCTACGTGGAGGAAGTGTATTCAAGAAAATTAGATCTCAAAATGAATTTTGCGTGGTGGAGATTGTTGATACAGGAGATCATAAAATTAGAACCCGAGAGAGAATGAAGACTGACTCACTCGATACAAATTCTTCTACACACTTTGCTTCCAGAAATG